GTGGCCATATGTCTCCTTATCTTCCCTGTCCAACAGACAAGCAACATGCGTGATAAAGATCTCTCTAGAATCACAACGACTCACCCAAAGAACATGACTGACTCCTCTCAGTAGGGGAATTTTACACACACACACACACACACACACACACACACACACACACACACACAGTTAATCCCTGTGCTGATATGTCACAATCACAATTTGGAGGCAATCTTAAAAAAATATGTGAAAAAAAGTAACAGGAAAAAGTCAAAGGTCTTCAGATTAAGAGTGAGCACAGAGGAAACACAAACAGCACATTCAGAGGTTTGTTGACCTCCTCTATCAGAGTTCCTGACTCAAATCTCATCAACAGAATCAAAGTGGGATCCAGCCAATGATTGGGACAGCTCAGTAACACACCCTGTCAGGCTCAGTCCTGAAAAGAGCACTCTTATAAAATCAACCTCAAAGCGGCTGACTGCGCCGACAGAGCGGGAGGAAGGAATGCATTGAGAGAGATTTTCATCCCAACCAGACTCAAGAGAAACACTTGATGTGCAATCAAACAGCTTTATTAAAGAATACACCGTTAGCTCCAGAGATAGGACAGAACCCGCACCCCGAGCAAGAATCTCACCACCTGCCAAATACAACAAGACACAGTTTGGATCCCTCACAAGGCAAACAAGATGAAAACATGAAGCCAGAGCTGAACAGGCAGCCAATCAGGTCACTTCTACAATTCTCTTAGCAGACTCTTTTATCCAAAGCGACGTACATCAGAGAGTAAGAACAACACAAGCAAGGATCTAGAAAAAAGGGAACAATGTGAGTAAGAGCAAACGATCAGCTTTGAGTCTGATTGGACACACAGGTGCTGACAGGAAGTGACCAGAGGCAAAGCACAACATTGAGGGCAGTTCTTGAGAGCTCTAATCAGTATAGAAACCATCTTATAAGTCGTCGTTATCAAACAAAAACCATCGTCATTACCATCATCATCATCAATAATATGGAGACCATCATCATTAAGTTAGTAGGTATTCATGAAAGAGCTGGGTCTTTAGCTTTTTCTTAAAGGTGCAGAGGGACTCTCTCTCTCTTGCACAAAGGGGACTTCTGTAAGAATCTTTTTCTGAGCGTGTAACTCTTCAAACGGGCGTGAAGCGACCCTGACAGCACTGAATCCACTACCTTGTTCCAGTGGAGGACAGGGCGCGGTGAGGGAGCAACATGTTTCTTTTCCCTTCTTTCACTGCACTAATTTGCTCTTAACTGCCACATCAGAGCAGACGATGTAAAACAAACATGTCATTACTCCCACGGCCGCCCACAGCACTCAGCCTCCAGGCCCGCCGTGTATTGTTGTGCAGCGACTCACCTGATCCCTCAGACGGCTCCAACCTGTCAACAAATCAGTTCACAGGGAAGCCAACAACACATCTGAGGTCTGAGGACTGGGTGGGGGGGGGGGGGGATTCTGCTCTCAAACGTGGGATTAATTAAATTTGAGTAGAATTAAGAGCGTCAGTCAAGAGATCAACTGGTGTGTGAGGAAGCAGAGAAGACAATCCAGCATCTAAAGGAAAGTACTTTAGAAGTGTCAGAAACTACAACAGACTACACACCTATCTGATATCAAACTTTAGTCAAATTAAACTTCCTTTCTGCTCGTCAACAGAAAGTCGACCTGCAGCCGCATCATGACTGAAGGACAGAAAACATGAACGCTTTGGGGCTAGAGGACTGTTAGCTGTTAGCATGCTCAATATTATTCAGACCCAAACATCTGACCAGTGACACATGAAGGGTGGTCAGGATATCACATTTATAAACATTGATGCATCGGGTCCTTTAATGACTCAAACACGCAGGTGAACTTCTGCACCTGGATTCATGTTTACATCAGGAACCCTAAAATGTTGCTGCCACACAAAGTTTCCTTTTCTTTGAAACCATGACGATAAAGAGCCTCTCCTCTCTTAAACTGTACACATGTTGAAAAAGTTTATGTACATCTTTGAGCAAACTGGACACTTCTTTGTTCCTCGCTCGCAGCAGCTTTATGTTAAAGACACGACTGAAGATCTGCAGGTTTAAAAAAAAAAAAGACATCATGGATCATTACGGTAACAGAGACCCGTTGGTTCTGACTGTGCGCTCAGGAGCTGCTGCATGAAGTGTTTGAGCATCCGTCCTGTCTCCATGACAACAGTCTGATGACAACTGCATCTGTATGACCATCACTGCATGTTGGATATGTGAGAGCTGAACGGCAGGTGCAGAACACCTTCACTAGAAGTTTGTGCAGGATGAAAACAGTATTTTAAAGGTTTTCCTTTTGTTTTGCATTCTGTGTGAAAATACTTTCCTGCAGCTGTCCTCGTACAGATGTGTTTGTTTGTTATAACACTGACATGTGATACTGGAGAGACTTTGTTCCTGTCCTCATATCTGACCCTCAACCCCGATTGTGATTCTCGTATACAAGTTCAGGTGACATGAAGGAAGAGGAGAGAGTTTGAGATGCTCGAGAGGATCGACACAATCCTGTTACACACACTCCTGACTCAGGGCGATGGAAAACAATCAATAATCAAACATATCAAAAAGTACTGAGAGCGAGAGAGAGAGAGAGAGACATCAACACTGAATCATTTCAAAACTCTGCCATCATATTTGTGCAGTTTAATCCGCGTTCGGCTGAATATTCTGATCACTAAAAATGAAAACACTCCGACATTTGAAGGCCTGGAATCTATTTTTTGTTGCCAAAGTATCCAAACTGATGTTTGAAATCATTTGATTTGACTAGAACTGTGTTTAAAGTTCAGAAAGCTGGTGTGGTGGTCTTTCCTTGTGGGGGTGTAATGTGTTGAAATGTGCTGATCTGGCCACAGAGCGGAGGTCACAGTTTGCCCCGAGAGCCGACTCCATCACTGCTGAGTCTACTACAACTGCTTCCTGTTGCTTGCCCTGCGCTGGCATTACAGCTGCACGGCCTCCATTGTGCTCTGTAATCCTCCCTGTAGTCATGAGGGCGCTCCATTGTCCCCGCTCGATACACTGTGAGGACCCTGATCCTCTGTGGATAAAAGCAGACACCGATGGATCCACATGGGGCTTCCCTGACCAGCTGGTGCTAACGCTAAAGATGTCTGGCCGTGGTCGTCTTCCAGCTGGGGGGGGGGGGGGGGGAGATCCTACCTGATCTAAGCACATGTGTGTAGCCTCATTAAGTGCAGCAGTTACCGTGGGTGGCAAGGTTAAAGCGATGAAATGCCTGGAGTCCAACCGAGCGTGACTTAAACAAAGCCCTTGGCCTGGACAAGAGGCCAACTTCATGCAGCTCACGAGAGGATGGGGGGGGGGGGGGGGGGGGGGGGGTACAAAAAAACCTGCTGCATGAACTCAGAGTACCCAACAACCCAGTTGCACCTCACTGCCATCTGTCCACAACAGCCAATCAAGTGATGAAAAGCACAAAGAGTGATATCATACCCAACCTGACGATTGTTAGTGTGCACTGAAGGAAAGCACTTGACGTGCAGGATGAGAGAAGCTAACGAGCCGCTCTGTTCTTTACAAACTCCTCATCTCCACCATCACACAGATTACTGAAACATGACAGATCAACCACACAGCAGAGCAGAACTTTTTAACCGCCTGGTTTTAGTTTGTCCAACAATCGCCAGCTTTAAGAACGAGCAAATTCTCCTTCAGTTCTGGGACACTGCTTAGTTTAAATGTGATCAATATGTTAGAAAGAAATTATTAAAGCTTGCAAAGACCTTGACCCAAAAAAGGCAGCGGTTTTCATTTCAATAACAACAAACAGAAAGATGAAACTAATCCGTCTCCCAGATTCTGATGCCAACTCGCTGCTGCCATGGCGTGAACAAAAACAGAAAACCTTTGTCTTTTTCAGAAAGGTGTGGAGCGCCAGAGTCTAAGAGCAGATACAGAACACACAGCCTCTCAGATTGCATGCTCACCCTGCTGAGAACAGTGTTGACTGCTTATCGGATCGTGGAGCTGAAATCTGTAAGAAAGCAGATCATGAACTGTCCTCCAGCCTCAGCCATTTTCTGTGTGTTGTCTGAGTGTTCGAGGCTATCTCCGAGTTCAATACTCCAAATGACAACAACTTCCACCAGGATGGAGGTAAAAATAGCCTTGATGTAATTGGACACACACATACCAGGAGCCTTTCAGCCATCAGGCACACAGTGGAGGAGTCTGCAGGCCGAGCTGTCTGTGCACACACACACTCACTACGCTCCAGCATGGCAAATCATATCTGTGTGTGAGCCTCAACACTCCCACAGGCCTGTCACAGCCGTTTACTGACTGTGTGAAGAAGAGCTGACACTGGAGGAAAGTGGGCTTTTCACTGTGGACTTACTGCACTGTGCAACATGAGCAGCTGCCAGAGGGGGGTCTGAGGGGGGGGGGGGGGGGTCTGCTCCAGCAGCTTTTTATCTCCACTTTTTATTTGGTCAGGAGGTAAAAAAAAAAAAAAAAAAAAAACGTACTCATGAGAAATCAATGCAACAAACAGAAAACCTACTGCGCTGTTTTATGATGAAAATAAAATCTGATTTAAAAGTTATTTTGTTTTGAAGTAACTCATGAACATACTGACTGAAGGATTTCTCCTCCATGTTTCAGCCCCTGCAGACCTGAACACAGGTTTTTATGAAGCTCTAATAAAAGGAGGTTAGAAATGTATTTACAAAAAGAGTAGACAGGTCTAAGCATGGCGCAGAGAAATACCTGCACCTGGTTAATTGGCGCAGATAATGAGGAGACCAGGGGGGGTCCTTCCTCCCAGAGAGCCAACCACAAGAAGAGAAACTCTCTCTGCGTTTGTTGTGCTTTCTCTCTCCACTTTCAGAGAAGTGACGGACAGTAATTGCACTGCAAACACACTTTTCTTTTTTTTTCGTTTGGAGAAGAAGCGCAGTCGAGAAACACAGAAAGTTCTTTTTTTTTTTGTTAAGTCTCCAACTCACCGGCCAGGCAAAACTGAAGGGCAAAACTATCCTGGATTTGTCATTCCTCACAGAGCTCCTGAAAGAAAAGCTATTCCCTCCGAGGACGGGCGTAGATCCCATTCCGAAGCTGCAGGGCCCCGCAGCGGAAACTCTCGACTGGTATTCCTTCAGGCAAACTTTAAAAAACGAATCGCACTCGTCCCGGGAACATTTCCTCTCCGCCGCGCTCCGTGCGCCATCACAACACATGCCGTTCAGCAGCGCTCCGTTGGCGTTGTGCATCGATAAGATTTGCAGCTCGAATTGTCCCGATCCCTCTGACACCTGTGGGAGAGAGAAAAGACAATGAGAAACTTTGACCTCGTTGTGTTAAACTAAAGTTGCAGAGACGAGGCGGCTGTTTTGCCCTTGGCTGCCCTACATGATTTGCACTTTGCAGCAGGCTCACACTGTTTGCATGAGGCAGGGTTACACGGCTAACAACACACATGTAATCAAAGTAGATCCAAACTGAGCTGAACCGAGTGACCCTGTCCCGAGTTAAAGTAGTCCACATACCTTGAGGAGAAGGCAGAGGAGAAAGGCAGCGACCACTGAGCCCCGTCTCAGAGTCATGCCTCCGGACTGCTGATCCACTCGTTTGTTAGGCTACTGGTCGTCTGGCCGACTCACGGCACCAGAGCTCTCCTCTGCTTTAAACATGCACGAGTGGGGAAACAACAGTTTGATCAGCGGAGCTCAGGTTCCACATTCATAGAAGAGCTTTTCCTGTTTTTTGTGGTCCCTGGAGCTCTCCGGGAGTCTTTGCTCTGCGTCGTTATCCGACAGTTTCCACTGGAAGTTGAAGAAAAGTTTACGCGGTGGCCATGCGGCAGCCGAGCTCTGTGCTCACTGACTGACTGACTGACTGACTGACTGCTGGCCCGGGCTGCACAGAGCTGCACAAGTTCACCAGGGGAGGGAGTGTCTCCGTATTCATGAGCAGGGCCCTCAGAGCCCGCCCTGCTGCACATCATGAGCAGGATCTCAGAGCTGCTCTCAGGGCTCT